ATAGATAGATAGATAGATAGATAGATAGATAGAGAGAGATAGAGAGATAGAGAGATAGATAGAGAGATAGATGGATGGATAGATAGATAGATTGAGAGAGAGAGAGATAGATAGATAGAGAGATAGGGAGATAGATAGATAGATGACCTGTCTGTTTGTCTGTCTGTCTGTCTGTCCCACCAGGTCGCCCATTGCGCAGACATCACAGCTACTCACAGGACGACGGAGCTTTCTATGGAGGTGAGATTGACACACACACTGACACACTGACACACTTACACACACACTGACACACACACTGACACACACACTGACACACACCCTGACACAGACACACACCCTGACACAGACACACAGACACACACACTGACACACACCCACTGACACACACACACTGACACACACACACTCACACACACACACACACACACACACTGACCCACATTACCGCACACTGACATACACACTGACACACATTACCACACACTGACACACTGACACACTGACACACACAGACACACACACTGACACACACACACTGACACACACACTGACATACACAGTGACACACTCACACTACAGACACACACAGACACACACTGACACACTGACTCCCACACTGAGACACACATTGACACACACTGAAACATTTACACTGACACACTCATTGACACACACACACACTGACACACACACTGACACACACACACTGACGCACATTAATTGACACACTCACCGACATACACTGACAGACTGACACACACACACTGACACACACACACACTGACACACACTCTGACACACACAGTAACACATTAACACACACTGACATGTTCTGACACACACTGAAACACACACAGTTCACTGTATAAATGACTGTCACCTGTATAAATGTTTCAGCTGTATGTATAAACCTGTCATCTGTAGAACCGTGTCACCTGTATGTATAAACGTGTCACCTGTATGTATAAACGTGTCACCTGTATGTATAATCCTGTGTCACCTATAATCGTGTCACCTGTATGTATAAACGTGTCACCTGTATGTATAATCCTGTGTCCCCTGTATGTATAATCCTGTGTCACCTGAATGTATAATCCTGTGTCACCTATAAACGTGTCACCTGTATGTATAAACGTGTCACCTGTATATATAAACGTGTCACCTGTGTGTCCCTGCCAGGTATGGCGGACTCTGCCCTGGTGGTGAGAAGCATCCACACAGTAGACAACTATGACGCCGTTGTCGAGTTCCGCTTCCACCAAAATGGCGCCCTCGCTGTCAGCGTGTACAACTCCGGCTATCTGCTGGCAGAGTTCTTCTCCACTGAAGACGCCCCCTATGGGTTCAAGGTCGCCGAGAACATCACAGGGTCATTGACCTTCAACGCGGCTCATTTCAAGGTCAGGGTGGAACCCCACTGGACTTTGTTGTTCTTGCTGCTGTTGTTGTTGTTGTTGTTGTTGTTGTTGTTGTTGTTGTTGATTTTGTTGTTGTTTTGGTAGTTGTAGTTGTTATTGTTGTTGTTGTTTGTATTGTTGTTGACGTTACTGTTGTTATTGTTGTTGTTTATTGCTGTAGTAGTAGTTGCTGTTATTGTTTCTTGTTTTTAAATTGTTGTTGACGTGGTTGTTTTTATTTTTGTTTTTGTTGTTTCTGGGTTAAAAAAAAAAAATAACAACAACAACAGCAGCAACTACACGAAAACAGCCACAACCCCCTCACCTTGAAACATCACCACGGCCACCGCCACCTGCATCTCTATCGACAATCCCTCCCCTTAAAAAAACAACAACAACAACAGCAACAAAACAACAACAACAACAACAACAGTAACAACACCATCAGCAACAACAACAACAACAACAACAACAACAACGACTATAATGTACATTAAGGAGATTGACCACTTGAACACTTGATCACCTCTACAGTAGAGCTGTCTATCTAGGTATGTGGCGAGATGGTCAAATTGTGGTCCCACTCTTCGATAATCTTCCTCTACAGTTTGACTGGGTCAGTGACCAGCAAGGAGAAAGATTTCCCCAAGACATTACGTCATGAAGGGGTGGGGTCAAGGTCGATTGAAAATGATGGCAGATTATAGCTGGGGTGTTTATTACTG